AGCTTCCTCACAGTGAATCTGTCTGATTTTGAAAACAGTTCATTCTGAATGTCCATCCACGTTTTGTAGTACTGTTTTTTGGAGCTTATCCTGAGCATTCTTGAAAGATGGCAAGCATTTATGGCTCTCCTGGCTTACTAAGTGACTAAATTTCTAGGCAAGCCTTCAGTATTGTAATGTAAAGTCTGAAAACAAAGCCAAAAATGCAGTTGCTGAAGGACTTGATTCACACCAACAAGGTTGGGATGTTTTTGTGACACCTGAGGTAATGGCCTGTTGGCGTGCTGTAACCTGTCATGACATCGAGGCAGTCCAAATTCCCTTCACCAGTAATGAAGGAGAGAGCTTTATTACCTTGTGTTTAGGGCTGATTATAGTCACACATATGAACAGTTACTATCAGCTAAGTATGGTGAGTTTTTTGCACACCTAAATTTTTCAAACAGTTTTCAAAGTATAGATGCACTGACAGCTTCCAAAAATCAAAATAGTAAGTTGTTCTTTGTGCTGCTTTTGATATTGCATAACCACACCAAACAAACCACATCAATTCTATTTTTTGTCCTTGATTTTTAATTCAATGTTATGGCTCGTTATGGGTTTCGAGTTCAGTATGCGTTCACATTCTGATCTGTGAACCAAGATGCTCTCTGAATATCCAGACTTCTCGGAAAGGATACGTGCTTCAGACACACATGAGGTGGTCACAAAGAGCAATAGAAGAGTCATCTTTCAGAAGGCGTTATGTTCAGGGTTATCTGATCTGTTATGTTCAGGGTTATCATACTATTCATTTGAACTCTCCCCTCTAAAGTGACTCAAATAAATTTCACAATTTTTCACTGAATTCTAATACTTAAGTTACACTGTAGTATCAGATGTTTCTGCTGTAATTTCCTGAGGAATTGCTGGGGAGAACATTAGGACCATGTCTGTGCCAAGCTTAAAATGCAGTTACATTGCTTGAACCTTTATCAACATACAGTAAGTATAGATGAATATCATCTGTTTACTAGTCTCACTTTTGTCTTAAAAATCCAGACATAATCTAAATTTTTATTAACCCTGCCTAAATGTGCAAGCTGGGAATCAGTCCAGAAGCAGGCAGAGTAAGAGGTCTGCTCTGTGTTTGTGCAGTTCCTGTGTAACAATAGAAATACTCAGTATACAAGTGGGTATAAAAAAATGCCAATATTTTGAAGGGGAAAAAGAATATCCAGAAATATCTCGTAAAAAATTGCACCTTGGTAATGACCAGGGTGCCACAATTACTTTTGTCAGTAACATGCCACGTGAATACCAAAAGTACTTGTAAATTCATTTACAGATAAGCACCATTTGTTCACTACAAGTTGTGTAAGTTTAGACTAAATTCCATAGAATTCCAAGAATACACAAAGTTAATGCAAACTTTAATCCTTGTTTTACTGAATGAAAATGAACGAAGCACGGGTACGAGCCTTATAGCATTCTGGAGCCTTACTGGTGAATGTAGCATACGTGAATGTAAATCATAGTACTTCCTTTTAGCACAGTTTCTCTTTGAGAAATCAGCTTTCGAGCTTCGTACACATATTTAAATCCAAATTTACTCAACATAGTCACAGTTTTTGTTCCCTGCTTTAGGATTTTATTATTAAATCTAAAGAAATGCAACATTTTACATTGTTATCCTGTAGAAGTGTTTTAGGACTGGACATGTTTGTGCATTGCCTGTTTTCAGTCTGGATTTCTGCATGAAGCCCAGGTGGTTTTCTCTGTGCAGATGTAGGGATGTACACTGCCAGTGATTAGAATCAGGCTTTTATTCTAGACTTTTTTGTTTGTTTGTGTGTTTACATTCCTAATCTTAGAGAGATAAGTAGTTTCTCTTGGATTGTTGTTGGCCCTTACCTAAGTATATTAGTAACAGCTGATGATTTTTGTTTCATGTTGAGGAGTGCCATACGGTTTGGAGGCATTTGAAGCTGGAGAGCATTTGTTCTTATTTCCTTCCCAGCAGCTATTTCACCAAACCTGTTACATTCCAGGGGCAGTTTATGGGTTAGTACATTCAGTAGCTTCTAGTCATGTAGCTGAAACCAGTGAACTGGTGCAAGCTTCTTAATGCTCACAATTTTATGTTGCTGTAGTCACAGAGTTTTCCCCTTTTATTTTATAGTCTGCATTCTTGGCAGCTAAGATTAATTTTTGCTGATATCCATATTCTGCAGACAGTATAGGTCGCAACTCCTTTTGTACTCACTGAGTTTTATTTGATCAAATATCTCGGGCAAGTAATTCTTTTTCCCTCTGTTCTATTTTAGACGTTTACTTTCAAGCTTAATCATTTTATAGAAACTTTATTTTTCTATTGCAAGTCAATCTTCCTTTTGTTTTTCCACAGTGATTTTCAGTATATTTTTAATAATGCTCTATAATTAATTCAAATGTATTAAGTTTGATTTTCATCTTTCCTAAATTGAGAAATATGCAAACACCCTGAGAGTGCTTTTTTGCTTGCTCATGAATGTTCTCCTGCCTTGTGAGTATAATGTAGTTTCAGTTCAGCTTAATCTTTTCATGCAGTCATAGCCGCCCAACATATATTATAAATGCAGAGTTTAATAGAAAATATTTATTAACAGTTCTTTGTAAAACAGCTTCTGAAGGTCACAGTACAGTTAAGCCACAAACATGAGGATATATAATCACAGGTTTGAGAGGGGGAGAGATGTGTTTCAAGGAATGCAGTAGCAGTACCATAAAAATGGGGGATGTATTGAGAACAGTCTCATCCCTCATGTCTGCACTGTGCGTTTTCCTTAGTTTTGAAAGTATCTTAAAACAAGCTTTTTCCAAAAAATTCCAGGTATTTAAGCTGAAGTTAAGGAGCTGTTGGTAAATGTGCTGCTGTGAGACAGCTGCTCAGAGGCATGGAACTCTTGATGTTTGTAAGCTTGAAACAAAGTGGTACAGAATGGATTGGTTTGGCTTCATTTGCTGCCTACCCTCATTCTGAGCAGTGCAGTGGGGAGATGCTGGCCCTCTAGCACAGAACAGAACCTTCTGTAGATATGCAGATGCTGTATGCTGTGACAAAGCTCGTTATCCTGTCAACTGTTTAGAAGTAAGCGGTAAAGAATTATCGTTTTTTCTGTAGATGCTTATACAGTACAATTTTCAAAACAATTTTTTACTTGTTTTTAGAGCAGTGTTTTAATGTGAAGCCTTCTATGAAATTTGCAGCCCCCTTTTGTAGCTGCTGTTACTTTTAATCTTTCTTTATACAGTTGTGAATGCAGTTAGATGTGGTAATGTAGCATCAGAGAATCAGAATTGTAGTGGTTGGAAGGGACCTCTAGAGATCATCAGTCCAGTCCCTCTGTTAAAGCAGGTTCCTACAGCATCCTTGCATCCTAATAGATTTTCACACTATTCTGGACAAGATCGCCTGGGCTTTCTCTTGGATGTGTTTATAGTTACCAGTATTTTGACAAAATTTTTCTCATTGCAGTCACTTCAGTGTTAGTGCTGTTTATTTGCAGAAGATAATAGCATAATTCAGTATATTTTGGTATGTGTTCCTGTGTCATATTTTCATCACTGTTCTATCGCAGCCAAACTCTTAGCCCAACACTCTTAAAAATACCGGTGTCCTGTTCTGTGGATGTTTGCTCTTCTTCATCAATTTTTACTTTACTTATTCGTGTTTTGAATTTTTATTTGCATGTATGTATGCATTGTGAATTCCCATTGATATAGAGATTTACAGCAGCAAAATTAGCTGGTTAACATTATTTTTGATCTAGATTCTGCAAAGATTTATGCTAAGTGGAACTGTGCAAAACATGCTAAGCCTGTAACTAAGCTCTATAAGATTTTGCTTCTAAGTATTTGCAGAAGTGAGTGTTGAATTTGCCAGATACTGCCTTTGAAGATGAAGCTGTAATATGACTACTTCTCAAACACCTAAACATACGGGTTTTTACAAGTTTATGAAAATATATTGCTGAAAAATTTGGGGTCATCAAAAGTTTACGTATGTTTACTGTCCTACAGAATATTCCTGGGGGGAAAATGGTGTCAGGATTTTTTTCAATAATATTAAAGTATAGTTTGAATTTTACTTTACTGTTCCCAAATAATGAAATCACTTTTGCAGTCCCTCTAGAACAAAAGTAGTGCAATAGAGATACCGGTAAAATTAATGTAAAGGATTTACTGAAGAACTGTAAGGTAACCATTAACAAATGAGTCAAATTAGTTTTTAAAATACAGTGTTAGAAGCCTTTTTTATACTGCTCTGTTTGAAAACACCTGTGATAATCTCCTTTGTGATTATTTGAAATACCCGGCCTTGCAGATAGATACTGGAGATGTAACATTGCTGCAATTGGAAATTGTTAATGCAAGTTTAATAGGAATATTAACTTTCAGTTTAATGCTAACATATCCATAACACGGCAACTGAATTGTCTAACATGTTTCATGGTGTTTTGGCATTTAACTAACAGTGTTTGGTTTTATTCTTAAACATCTTCAGGAAAGGTTCTGTGCGCTTTTTTATGGTGTCAGCATGGAGTTAAGCACAAAAAGTTATTCAAGGAATTAATTTTCATTAATCCTTTCAACCACCAGATGTGTTCTTGTGTTGTATTTGATGTGTCTGTATGCCATGATGATTTAATAGAAATGTACTGTGTAGTATGAGAGTCTGTACTGCATGAATGTTTTCCTTGTGAATGCATACTAATGTGTAAGACACTCAAATTATCTAAATATGTTAACAATTTACTGTAATTATTTTTACAACTTGTTGCAAATGTCATGATCTAATTGGTAATCCTAATTCTTCAGTTTAAGTAGGCATCTGATACAGTTTAAAACTGCGGCAAAAAATCATTGTAGTGCCATGGCTTATTTAACATACAGTATGTTCTTTTATTTCATGCACCGGTCCTCAAGTGTTTGGAAGAGACTTGCTTTCTTATTTTGAAAAAATCCTGTTCTTATTGCAGCTGGTTTTAGAAGAAGCTTTCGCCTTAGCAGAAAAGATAAAAAAACAAACAAATCTATGTATGAGTGCAAGAAGAGTGATCAGTACGATACAGCAGATATCCCAACATATGAAGAAGTTGCAAAATATAGACGACAACCTAATGACAAATACAGGCTTGTAGTTTTGGTTGGTAAGTCATTTTCCTTATTTTCAACCTGGTAAAACATAGGACTGCTGATTAGCGCAGTGCTTACCACAGAATAATTCAGACTGGAGTAGATCTTAGGAGGTCAACTTGTCCAGCTTCCCACTCAAAGCAGGAGCAATTCTGAATTCAGAGCAGGTTTCTGATGACAGCACCTTTGGGAACTTGTCTTCCTACTATGTCTTCTCTTTTCACCATTCACCTCAGTGAGGAGGCAGGGTACATCATCTCAGTTAGTGTTAGAAGGGTGCTGGTGGGTCCCCCTGAAGCAGTCTCTTCTCCAAGCCCTGTTCCCTCAGCCTGTCTCACATGTAGGTTATTCTCCATCTTCCTGTAATCTTAGAAACTCTTCACTGACATTGCTCCAGCATCTTTCCTCTAATAAAGGCTGCAGTATGGACTGACCATTTCTTGCAGTGTCTAATTAATGGAAAGAATCACCTCCATTCAGTGGCTATCCCTTTGCTGATTTAGTCCAGGGTGGCACTCCTCACTGCCAGTGTCCCTGTGGTCACATGCTTAGCTCAGTTGTTGCCTGGTCCTCCAGGTCCATTTCATCTAATCCACTCCACATCCAGTCAGTCCTCATCTTGTACTGCAGTCTGTTGTATGTGCAGAACTTCGCATTTGTCCTCATCAAATTTTCCAAAGATCTGCCAGCCCATTCATGTAACTTGCTGAGGTCCCTCTGTATTGCAGCCCTATCCTCAGACAAGTCATCTAAACCAACCAGTTTGGCATCTGCAAACTCAACAGGGGGCTATTTTGTGTCGTCCTCCATTTTTATTTATGAAGGTATGAAATGTTACATCCCACAATAGACCCCCGAGGAGCTCCACTTCCAGTGAGTTACCCCATAGTACAGACCCCTGCCCTTCAAGCGTGATCATCCATTCACTTTTCACCTGTCTTGTAGACCACCAATTTACATACGGTATCTCAACTAGTATGTAAGGATGCTTTTGGAGACAATGCCTATAGCCTTGTTAAAATAAAAAGAGATCATATTTAAATATAGCTACCATGGTGACTAATCTGAACGTGGTTGTCAGTGTGTACTGAAACTCATAAGAATTAAGGTAGCGCTCTGCTCTTTTAAGAGATCAATCAATATAGCAGAGTAGAAAAAGACAAAAAAATGGAATAAATACTTGTGGTCAGTCAAGGCAGAATGTATACATGGAGAGCAACAAAACCTACTGTGTTAGAACAAGTAAATAAGCAGGTTGAGAGAAAGGTGGATGAGTGGTGGGCTTCTGTGTGCCAAGAGCAGATGTAAACATAGCTGCAGAAGACTTAAGATGTCATCCTCAGCTTTCTGTTCCTCCCTAATCTGTCACTGCCATCTAATCAAAATGCACTGCTTCAGTCTCTAAAAAAAACAGGAAGTATATTATCTTAACTGTTTCAGAGGTAGCCATTGGAGCCCCGGTGTGAGTAACCATTACCACCAATGAACAATGTCTCATTAGTTATTGTTTCTTTTGCAGTAGCACGTAGGCTGTTGCATCATTAGTAAAGTTTCCTCCATTCTGAAAACAACAGAGCAGAGAAATACGACCCTCTCTCAGGGTCTGTTTTGTACTGTTGAGTAGCTATGTAGCTATGTTTTTCTATCAGTCATATCCAAGGGAACATTAAGTTTAGTTTTTAATAAACAGCTCTGTCACTTTCCAGAACTAAAATTCAGCCACCTACTAGTGTGATCACTGTGAGATTGTGGGCTATATACAACCAGTAATAACATAGTTGAGTTGATTTTACACTTACATCAACAATATGTGGTGCAAAAGTGTGATAAGTAGACTTTTTATAACAAATTGCATATGTCTGATCTAAAGAATACCTAGAGATTTCATTTGATTTTTGTGGTAATAAATCAAATGAAGAAAGAGTGCTTTTTTAGTAACAAAAGCAGTTCAGAAATTTATTGCAGACTTCAGTAATTCTAATGTTTTTCTCTGGATATTAAGAGCAGCTTAAGTCTGGCCAATTCCATAAAAATGTCTTGGGCAAAATGTGGAAAAAGTAGCAGAGCTAAGCAACACAGGTACAGTAGGAGAGAATGCATTCAACAAGCCTTTGTGTGCCGGTAGCAGCATAGAGTATAATGTGTCAAATAAAAGGTGGATACTATTATCAGGAAACAAAGGGGCAGATAATGAATTTATAGCTTTAATTGGTGGGGACACTGAATATCTGCTGTGTTATGCTAATGCCTAATGCATAATTTACTCCTGGAAGGCTTTGGAGGTTTTGTTATGTCCTTTTTTGTCAGAGAGAGTTTGACAACTGCAAAGGAGAAATTTCTTTTGGCCTCATTTTAAATTGATCTGCTCTAATTTACAGAATGCAAATTGCACACACAGTAATTTTTAGTGCCCTGTAATGTGATAGAGTATTAGTCTCGGCCACAGCTAGATGTATTAGTTTGTCAAGCTTTCACCCTCTCTGCAAATGTACGCTTATGAAAAAAGCCCTGTATATCCTTGGGGCTAAAATAATGGATAATCTGGAGTGATAATGTTACAGATACTTCTGCTGTGCTGTCTCTCAGATATTATGAATGTGATGAGTCTGCTAAAAGTGAAATGATCCAGTATCATGTGACCTCTGTTCTTCTGATAACTTACCATTCCTAGGCCACAGAAAATCCTTAAGGTCTTCAAAAATATTGTCTGCATTCTAACTGTGATACTTTGCAGCCTTACCAAGCTGAGGCAGGCTGTTTTCATATGAAACATACTATTTAGACAATAGAATTTTCATTTGCATTAACAAGGAAAAAATCTTTCTCACAAAAGCTTCTGCTTCAGCAGTGATGAAGGCCAAACTATATGACCATACTATACCATGTGAAACATTTGGACAACAAAGAAGAAGATTTAGAATTGATACTTTCATTAAACCTTTCTGGCTGAACGCTCAGAAATCTACATTGGCTAGCCTTGCCAGTCAAAAAACCTGTATAAACTCCCAATCCTGCTTCAGTGAGCAGTCAGTCAAGAAGTACCTTCCCACTGCTAGTTGCAGTTTACTGAAAAACAGAAAAATGATGTTCTGTTTTCCTGCTTCATATGTCATTGTGTCATGGTTGGACATACATATGCATTATGCTGATCCATTTTACTAGAGAAGGAATAGTTGAGCCACAGAACCTCTGTCAGTGCACATTTTCTACAGAGTCTTTATGGTCTCAGCAGAGGGGCTAGCACCTAACTCCCAGAATCTTTTCTGAAAGACCACTTTCAAATGAACTGACCTCTAGGAGATCCCTTTGTGCCTGCTGCTGAAGAATAGCTGATGGGATTAATCATCCTGAGACCTCAACTTATTCTATGAAACAGTTTTTCCAGATTTCTCGAGGCATGTCTGAATAGTACAAAGCTTCATGCACGTTTTAGTGATTGGTGGTCTAAATCTGCAGGTGACTGTCAATAAGAAGAGCTAGGTATTGCAGTTTGTTTGTGCAAGATACTACAGTTACTTGATTGATATGATTAAATATGGAACAGCAAGTAAAGTAAATGTTGCTTTAGAAAAATAAGCAAAGTATTACTAAATCTGTCACTGTACCACTTAATATTGTTGCCAGGGGTGAGTTATAGTAAACCAAAATAATGCTACAGCTATGTATCCCACTTGCTTGGCATTCTGAGATTCTGGATTGTCCTTCTCAATCCTAGTGTTTTATTCTCATCTCTAGGTCAAATCAGATTCTAATTATTAAAAACTAGCATCTTTGTAGCATCAACATGAAAATAAGAATCAGAATAGAAGTATTCTTTACACTGAGGAGATGTAGTGCAAAAAGAAGCACAATGGATGGCATTACTGATCAGGAATCAGTCCTCAGTATCCATATGCTGCAGTTAAGAGAGTTCTCTGAAAACACTGCTGAAAAAGAGGAATCTACACCTTCCAGTAGTTAAATTTAAAGATGAGTTTAAAATGGTAATCTGAAAGGGGAGACAGCATAGTAATGAGGTTTAGATCTTAAAACAGATCTGATCTAAGTTTCTAAAGCATCCACCACAGTAAGTAAGGCCTGGATTATTTATATATAAATAGAGCTGAAAGCATGTTGATTTGACAGTGTATAGTCTAAGGAGATAATATTTGCGTAGATATGGTGGGAAAAAAATTTTGCTTGAAAGGAATTTAATGATTCTTTTTACTTGAATTTCATTCAATGTTAATAGAATCTATTGAGAATTTTAACTACTTTTCTGGAAAAAAAAAGGTATTTGTTTAAATAGCTGTGCCATTAAAAGAGGAAAAAAATAGAAAGCACAAAAGTAATGTCATTATCTGCATGACACATTGCTTTTCTCTGCAGACATGCACCAGTAGAGGCTGCTGTACACCATATTAAATAAACATTTATACTTACTGATAGATTAATTTACTGGCAGGTCAGAGATGGAACTTGAAATGTAGTTGTGTGTTTAACTTATGTAAACATATAAAATTATAAATGCAGAAACTAGGACTTTACAGAGGAACCACAGTCTGGGGATAGTAGGAGATGCTTGCTTTTCATCGTCATGTGTTTCTAACCACACAGGGTGGGTACAAATAGGCACCTGGAGGTGCTGAAGCATCAGTTGTTGCTTTTTGATGCCAGACTCTCCTTAGTAATTAACCAGTATATCACTATTTCATTAACATGCTTATTTCAGTTTGTATTTCTAATCTCTAAAATGCCTTTATTAGAAAGCATGGTTGTATCACTTTTCATACAATTTTCCATAATATGTATTATTTTCGTATCATTTGGGATATGATTCAAATGATTCTCTTCTACATTTTGCTCTTGGCCTGACTTGGTGGAAACAAAGAGAGTACTCCATCAGAAACCCAGGAACCCCCAGCTGGGCTTCTTCATGCATGCATCAGAATGAATCTCCCCACAACACGAAATAGGGTTCCTGTGGGTAGGAAGTAGTTGCCCCAGTAAGCATTTCGGATTCTTGTAGAAACTTTAAGAACCATTATCAAATGGCTAAGAGTTGGGGGCATGTGAAAAATCAAAAGCAATGCTTCCTTAGTAATTTCTAGCACAGCAATACTCAAGTGGAGGTGGAGGGGATGGGTCAGAAAACAACCATGCAGTCTTTGTTTCTTCCTGCCAACCTCTTTCCAAGAGTGGTCTCCCTTTGGCAGCTGCATGAAGAAAGAAACATTTATTTTGGACCAGTTCAGACAGCAGGCAGCATACAAGCAGAGTTTAAAAGAAAACCAACAACAAAGAAGGAAACAGAAGCTTCCCAAATGGGTTGTGACCTGGGGAGCACCAAATGCATGGAGAGGAGCTGCCCTTCCTTCCTCTCCCCACTCATTCCTGGCCTGACCCCTCGAAAAGGAGGAGGAGGAGAATGGCCTTCACCTGCTGGCTGGGAGGCTCTGCTCCGGGAGTTTGAGATATTCTGGCAAAATAAATAGCCGTGCCAATTTTGATTAAGGTTAAGGTGCCACATCTGTGGTAAGGCCAAAATGGGGATATGATGTGTTGAGGGTAGTGGAGAAATTGCTTTGCTTTGGATTAGATGACCTTGAAGGGTCCCTTTCAACTCAAATGATTCTATGATTCAACTTTTTCCGTGTTTTTTTTCCTCAGTGGTAGAGTCAGGCCAGAAAAACTATCGGCTGCCCCCTCATGTTTGTCAGCATTGTATATCCTAGGAGAGGCTGTATCCATAGACATTTCTAAATGGTTAGAAGATAGTACGTGTTATAGCTGTGTGCCCTTTGGTCTTACCTCGGAGAGCACTTGTGCCTGAAGATGAGAGACCTGGCTGCTGGGAAACAGCACTGTTTCTTTATTTTAGGACCAGTGGGGGTTGGACTGAATGAGCTCAAACGAAAATTGCTGATCAGTGACACCCAGCATTACGGCGTAACGGTGCCACGTAAGTAGAAACACACTTCTATTCTCTTGATGCTACACTTGGTTCCCTTTATTATTGCATTAACTTAAGGCACTTTTAAATTTGAGTCTCTAAATGCATGCTTGGCATCCAGATTACTCTTCTAATTTTTGAAAGTGCTGCTGCAGTAGTATTTTAAGTAGCATTGATTAAATTGATAGGACGTTTTGGCTCAGAAGCACTGCAGTAGATTTTTACTACAAGTTTAGCGTGATTGATGTCAGCGGTGTTTGGTAAATGAAACTCAGCTAAAGAACACACTGGATTTAGCTGCAAAGCAGTGAAAAGTACTCCGTTAGCAATGCTTGCTTTCAGCAAAATGCCGTTTTACATTAAGGCTGAAAAATAAAGATGGATGATAAACAGTTTCGAACCTCCATGAATAAATGATTTTAATCCTTTGATTAGCTTTAGAAAAGTTATTTGGGGATTTTTCTCCCCTCTTTCCCCTGTCTGACCGTGTCGTGTAATTTGAACGATGATGAATAACATTGTTCTGAACTAAATTCTACAGTACTTTATTGGATTTTCTTTCATGTGGAGGGCTTGATGGTGTTAGCTGCTCTTCCATTCCTTTGTCTGCTTGTACTTGTAATTTTGCCTCTTATAGGGATCCTTCAAATTATGCGTCCAGCACTGAATTCAGGAAATACTGTCATGTTTTTCTTTGCAAGTACAGGTATTCTATAAAAATACATATGAATGAATTTTCTAGGTAGAAAAATGAATACATTTGTTTTCAGCAAGTCATTTCATTTGCAAATATTTTCCTCAGCTGGGTATTGAAAACTGCAACAAAAAAGCCAGATGTTCCCAAATATTTAACACACTGCATATGCAGTCATTTGCCCAGAAGCATTTCTCTAAAAATTGCCAGGATTCATCAAGCTGCCTTTTCTCTTTTCTCTTCCAAATTTGTGGTTATAATTTAAAACAAACAAGTAAAGAAATCCTCCCTGAAATTCAATAAGTCAGGACTTGCATAGAGAAATGGCGTTCTTGGAAATGTTTCTCTTTGTGTCAACCTAAGAAAAGCGAGACATCAAATGGCATTCCAGGCTGTGCTTCTGCAGGAAGGTTGTGTGTGTTCACATATGATGAAGAATATGTGTTGCTGTAATATGTATCTTGTATTAAATATGATTTTTAAGTGTGCTCATTACCCGTAAGTGGCAATCCCACAAGTTCGTAAGCAAAACCTTTATGCCTAGAGCTTGAAGGCAAGTAAAGATAATGCAAGACCACTGGAAGAAAAAGGAATCACCAGGAAACGAAACAAACTAAATCATAAAATTCACACCCCGTTTCTTTACTGTCATGCTCCATATACCGTAGCTGCAGTCGTTGCTAATGAATGTAACATTTTATAAATCAGGTTGGTGAACTTTGTTTCCCTTTATGGTCTTGTATGCTAATAAGTTTAACGAGTGGCAAAGTTGGGGTAATTGTTATGAACTGCTGCTCATTTTATTATTCAGCTGTCCTCGTTTTATTGGATTTTTCCGCCAGTTAATAAAAATGATAATCTGACACTTGTCCAGTAGTTTTTTTCCCTGTGCGTGCTTTTAAACTCAATCCTGTCACGTGCTGAGTGCTGCCTCGTGTCGCTCAGGAGCGAGGAACTGCTGTGCTGAGTATTGCACAAGGGCTGTGGGCTTCTGAATGTTTCCTGAACTGGTTTGCATTATATTGTTTTGTGCATCCTTTCTTTTTTTTTTTTTTTTTCTTTTAATGAAACTGCAGACACCACCCGAGCAAGAAGAAGCCAAGAAAGCGATGGTGTTGAATACATTTTCATTTCCAAGCACTTGTTTGAGACAGACGTACAGAATAACAAGTATGTTGAAGAGGTTTTAAGTAGAACCACAGTTAAAACAATGGCTGCATTATAAAATGGGGCTGGTTGTAATTTTAGATAGTAATTCAAGGTGGATGTAAGCCGTAGTGGTTTGAAGATGTTAGATTTACATTTTGATACATAAGCAGTTCAAAGAAGCTGAAGAAACAAAAAAAACCAGCAGTATATGCAGACAGAAATGCTTCTGTGCTTCCAAGTAGTTTCAGCACTTCAGCTCATCAATAAGACCCTGAAATTGTAGGTGTTGAGGTGGGGGAGCTCTCTTTCATGGGGCATTATCCTTGATGGCAGTGAAGCCTTGCAGCACTGGGACAGGGGGGTCTGGAAGTGCTGCAAACGTGCTTGAATCAATGTTTGCGTAGTTCTGCTCTCTTTCAGGACAGGCACTTCCTGTGCTTTTGAATGTAGAGACCTACAGAGAAGTCCCTGTCTGTAAACACTCCAGAAATTAAACTAAAATGAAGACAATGGTAGCATCGTGCTCTCTAGCAGCCTGTAAAATATTGCAGCTTGAAATTCTGTCCCAGTGTTTCAGGGGGCAAAAGTGTATTAGACACAAAGCTGTGGGTTTTATGGAAACTTCAAACTGTGCTTTGCTTTTTTGGCAAATTGTACTTGTGCTTTTATAGCACATAAGCAGCCGCCTTGGTTCCATTAGCACTGTCGTAGCTCCTCCTCCTCTTCTGAGATGGAATTTGGATATTCTGCAGTGTGCAATGAAATTTCAGTAGTTTCTATTGTTTAGCTTATCCACTGTTTTATTGCATTGCATTAGTTCAGAAAAAGAGGTGATGGAAAACATTAGTGGGCTGTTGGACTACAGTGCTTTTTTCTCTTTAACTGTAATACAAGCAGGTGTTACTGATTTGAACGTGGTAAAATAGAAGATTTCTTAAAATTGACATGTTGAAGTACTTGACAGCATTTCCTTTATAAAACATGGTAAAACTCGCATGTAAAGTAACATATATTTGCTCCTGAATTAGATCTTATAAACCAAACCGATAAGTTTTTGCTGGAGAAAATGGAAATGATTCTAATGTTTTCACCCTCTGCCATAGGTTTATCGAGTACGGCGAGTATAAGAACAACTACTATGGCACAAGCTTAGATTCTGTTCGGTCAGTCCTCGCTAAAAACAAAGTCTGTCTGTTGGATGTGCAGCCTCATGTAAGTAAGCATATCATTTGGAATCCTGTAGTTCTCTGTGTTCCATATTAGGATTCCAGAAACTTAACTGTTCTAAAAAATATATTTTATTCCCTCCTGAATTATTATCAAGTGGGCTTGATAGGTGACTTTATCACATCAGGACTTGCTGGAAGGAGAAGAAGGAAACTCCAATACATATTGCTAGCATTCAGCTCAGGAATTATTGTATTGAAAGCCCACAGCATAATACCAAAGACATTATAAAATGCTTCCAAATTTTCATTCATCTTTTTGCTGTTTTGTGTTAAGAGGTTCTTTCTGAAACTTAAATTTCAGAATGGCTTTGAGCTGCCACACAGCCCAGCTGCTGTCCTACGTTTAGTGTGTCTGCTCATGCAAAGAGTTTCCACGTAAGGCAGACACAAGTTAAGGAACATGCTTGGTGTATTGTTGGCCAGATAATTGTTAAGAACATTCCTGTCTAAGCCATTTGTTATTGCCCTGACTGTGTCTTTCAACCCAACTGAACAGCTCCTCTGGGAATTTTTATTCTCCTAATAACTGCAGTGCTTCCAGGAGCTGGACCAGTTTGTTTAAACAGAGCCAAAGTATTTCTTCTCCAAGGGTGGCCAGCCTGTGGCTTCTGAACCCCAGCAGTTTGTGAGCAGTTCCTGGTGCATTTTTGGATGTGGGGCTTTGCCTTAAAGCAGCGGCAAGTGGGCTGTGCCAGCACAGGAGCAACTGGGGAAGCCAAGCTCTCACCAGGAGATCTGGGCCGGGGCTTCTGGGGCTCAGTGAGAGCATTGTGTGTCCAGTGCAGCCCAGTTTTTCAGTGAACCACTAAATTCTCCAGAGGACCTGGTCTTGTGAGTCCTTCTGGGGTCGTGTTCTTTGTCATGTTGTTTTCTTGTGGGCCCTGGCAATGCAAAGATGACCGAAAGCTGGCTGGCCATCCCTGCTCCACGTTGTGCTGCAGTCAGAATTGTAGACCTCTAATTTCATAGGTAGGATCACTTCAGTCTCTCAGGAACAGTAATAGCAGGGAGTTGTTTAGTGAGTACACAGCTCTGAGGAGAAGAAACAGGTGACCTCCTGTGATTGTGGCATAGACTCTTGCACACACTGCTTTTCAGATGTTACTGCTAAAATGTGTAGAACTTTTCCACTCCTGCAGAACTCCCTGCCCCGCCTTCCATCCTCCTCCTGCCTTTGGGCACTACTTTACATTTGTGGAAACAAAGAGTTATCTTACCCTTCACATGAGAATTCTCCCTGTAGGAATCAGTGCTGGTCAACACAATGGGATGGCGGTAACTGAAAGACAGACTTCTAGAAGTGCATTGTAGGTTCAGTCTGGTTAGCAGAGGGTTTCTTTTACTACGGTAAATTCAATTGTGAAAAATAAGCTAATTAAAATTTTTCCTCTTATCAGACAGTGAAACACTTACGGACATACGAGTTTAAGCCCTTTGTTATATTTATAAAGCCTCCGCCACTTGACCGCTTGAGAGAGACTAGAAAAAATGCCAAGATTATTTCAAGTAAAGATGATAGGGGAACCGCAAAGCCCTTTACAGTAAGTATATTTAGACATGGTAAAGTATGAGAACTTGTTAAGAGTTTGTATTGTTTTACCTTGGAAATAAAGATTATTGCTGAGTCTCTATCCATAGTACTTGTCAGGGCTTAGACTCAACCTACACATTATTTCTCAATTTCTGTCACCCTAAACTTGCTGTGATGTTCTCATTGTTTGCTGTGCTCATCGATATTCACATGTCCATGGTCCTCAGTGTGAGTTTATGTAATTGAAGAATGCTGAGGATTTCCTCTAAAAAAAAATCTGCATGTGGGCTTAGATGTTTCTATTTAAGCATATGAATTTCCTTGTATCTTTTCTATTTTTGAGTCTTAAATTTAGAGGAAACCTCAAACATCAAGCATCAGTTGAGAAAGAAATGCTGCCTTAATAAAAAGACTATATTTGTGGATAAGACACACAATTAAAAAATGTTACAGGGAAATGAATATTCTGAGAAAGAATGTGAAATATCTAAGGAAGCAAAAGGTACAAATGCTGCATCTTGTCAATAATCAGGGAAAAAATATCAGTCATTACCCATTAGTAACTTATTTACTTCCTGGAAGTACAATGAAAAAATATTTTAATTGAAGCTAAATGAAAGCCAACCGTGGTTACACTTTGTTATCTACATGTACTGTGTGTATGATTTTCCTGTACTCAGATATAAGTTGTTATTTAGGAATTGCTAGATTGTGTTTTTAAGCTGAGTCATGAACAGAGTCATGGGGATAGACAGTTTAGATAGAGCAGATCTAGATACATATTGCCTCTTTATTTTTGTGACTGTGTCTTTGTAGGATATGCTTTTGACATAGTTTGGAAATAATGTACTATAACAATACTTTCTGTTATATATAAAATGTAAGAGGAGTTCATTCTTAAGAGCAATCTTCTGGACATTGTTTAGTTACAACTGTTTTACTCATAGTTGTGTCATCAATTAAATTCCTAAGATTTCTTCCCTCCCCAAACATGAATAGAAGTGCACCCAACGAGGCCCAAGCAAGACTAACAAGGCACAGGAAGACAGCTCCTGCCAAGCTTTTAAAAGAAAAAGGCTGCCTCTAATATATCATGTGCTAATAGCAAGCTGAGACTTAAGTAATGAAACTTTAAAAGCATCATCGAAATAAACAGCTAGAAATGTTTTCCACTAGTGCTGCTAACAGAAGATGGCTCTGAAGTTGCCATGCAGTGACCAAGTGTGTTATTGCAAGGGGAAGGATGAAAGAATTGTCTGTTGAGCAAACTCTGCTTGTAAGGGTGTTCCCTCAGATTATCAGGAAGGGTAGTTTCTGTATTTTTTATTTTTTTAATAAAAAAGCCCAATTTCCACTTCCATAAGCAAGTAGTTTCACATTCACCACAGAATCAGGTGACGTGTTCCTGTGGACTGACTGTTCCCTGCACTGATCTCATTAGGAAGAAGATTTTCAAGAGATGATTAAGTCTGCCCAGGTGATGGAGAGTCAGTACGGCCACCTCTTCGATAAGGTGATCATCAATGATGACCTCGCAACAGCCTACAGTGAGCTTAAGGCAACCTTTGACAGACTGGAGACTGAGACCTTCTGGGTTCCCGTCAGCTGGTTGCACTCGTAGCGTTTCCCATACACAAGGCAGCCAGTGCATCCCGATCCAAATGTGTGCGTGGTTAGGCAATACTTAAGGGGCATTTTCTTGGGAGGAGGGCTTTCTAACTCTACCTGAGCAGCAAGTGCACTCTTCACATATGTGGCACTGGTCTTGTTTTCTGGTGTCTTCATCCTCCTGTTCACAATTTTGGGACAGTCATGTGGAACTGAAGTCTTACTAAGCTCAGTAAAGCGAGCAAATACTCATGTAACAAAACTGCCAAATGTCTCTCACTCGTACGTCCATTTCCAAGGTAAGCTTTTTTAATGGAGAGTCTGCAGAAGATAGTAATTAATACTAGAGATCAGCACTTTGGTGGTTGTAAGTCTAACTGCTCTCATAAAAAGCACATCAGCACTTGGAAGTTATTATCCCTTAAGTGCTTGAGAGAACTGAAATAGGCAAAAGTGACCAACGTTTTTATGGGAAAGACTTCCTATGCGCAGCAAGATAAGTGTTTTTACTGTTATAGATGTGAGCCTTGTCTTACATGTACAGAATGATTGCAGTATTCCTTTGCACTTACGTAGTCATGAAAAGAAAGATGTATTCAGTGGCTCAGTTGTGAAAATCCCTGCTGTGAGCATGCACAGATTGAAGGTATTTTCATGCATGCTTTGTGGCACAACAAAGAGAACTCACGGGAATATTTATTTAAATAGGGTTACTATGTATATAACTTCAAAGTCTTTAGGATTAATCTTCTGTAAAATGGGTGACAAAGCAGTATGAATAGCAACCAAGTAAAGAGTAAATTTTTTTTCCTTTAAATTGATATCAAGAATTTTTAGCATCCCTTAGAACAGTTTTCCCTTCAGAATTTTTCAAACAATTGGTGAGGATGCTGTGGAGACCTGGGAAGCAGTTGCAATAAGTCAGTTCTTTCCATTGTTTGGTATTTAGCAGTACTTGTTTTGATAGTGTAACAGATGTCTTGTCTCCATCCAGAAACAAATTAATGCTGTAGTCCTCATTATGAAAAAATCTCCGTCAGTGTTCCGATACCGATACAGTTGGAAACCTCATCTTGAATTTGATGTGGCAATGTAAGCATATGTATCATAGATGATGTATTTTAATATAGATAACTTGGTATTTTTCTTTCTTTACTACTAATATGCAGGAAATGAGTACATCTGTAAAGACCAAGTAACACCTGTGTGTTGTGTTGTGAATGTCTGTAGTAAAGAACGTGTATAGGAGCTTGTAAATTCAGATCGTCACATCTGTGGCATTCAAACAGGAAACAGTTATTTCATGTTAATCTGAAAAGAGAATATAGATGTCTTGTTTCAGGGAAAAAGAATTTAGTGAAACTTTATATATTTATGGAAGGGTTGAAAAGGGATGTTAAGTTTTTAAGTTTGTTGTCAATGTGTTCATTTATTAAACAGATTACGAAGACTGTAATTCGAAATACTGTCTCTGTAAATTGAGCTCAACATTCCATGTAAATATTTTATTTCAGTTTATGTGCTGATAAAGCCATCAGATTCCACAGTTTAATTCTAAATGCATATTTAATTTGTGGGTCACTGCACGTAGCTTAGAGTTGTGTAAAACAAATGAAATGCAAGCAACAGCAGCAAAATCCCTCTGAGTCTGGAAATGTTTATGTGGGAGTCACAGATGTACAGAATCTCAGTATGGTAAATGCTCTGTTTGAATCACTGTAATGTAACTTTTGACAAACTTTACCTTTTTTCAGGGGGAAATTTTTTTCTAACAATAATTGAGATTTGTTGATTAAGTTAATTGCATGCAGGTTATGTAGGTTGAGAAAATGTTTTCTATTATTTTTAATTACTGAAAACCAAACTGTTTTTTCTGAGGATTTGGAATTGGGTGCCTGCTTGCCTTTGCCTGCAAAGAACCGGGCACCCTTGTCACTTCTTCCAACCAACAGCTCGGAGAGGGGACTCTGCATCCCTTGATATCTGGCCATTTCCCACCTTACTGAGCAACTCAGCGCTGCTTCTGACCTGCAGTATATCAGAACATCAGTGTAGAATAGCACTCCCATAAGGGACCTGCTTTTCTCTTTAAGAAGAGGTGCTGGAATATTCTGCAAAGTCTCTGTCCAAGGCAGTCCTGCATGCTGTCTGTCTTGTCCTTTTGAAAAAGATTGCAGTTTCCATTCCTGGGTCGGTGCAGTCTCAGAGGACGTTCTGCAGCGCGCTGTGCTGGGCAGTCATGGGCAGCGCTGTGCTCTGCTGCCTTCATGGAGACACTGCTGCTGGTCCCTGGTGCAGCCCTGCAGGCGCTTTGGAGGCAGAGAGGCAGATGGCTGCTTGCCCTGTCTGTGGGCTGGGAGCCGAGTCCTGAGTTGTAACACCTGCAAAGGAAGGGAATCACAAAAACATAAATCCTGTGGAGCAAAACGTGCACACAGTGAGAGGTGGTGTTAGCTAAATCACTAGATTGCTCTTGAAAATCAATGTTATTGCAGCGGTTGCTTCCAAAAATAAAATAATAAAAAAAAAAAATAGAAGCCTCTGGGCTCTGCAAGGCAGGCAGGGATGATGTAAGTTCAAGGCAGAAAGATGTCTCAGCCCACCAGTTCTGACAGCACGGGACCTGCTCTGAACGCATGTGCCAAATTGTTCTGAGGTTCCATGGGGAAAGCTATGTGCTTCTTTTGACTCTGAACACTTGGGAACGAAGATGACTCAAGGTGGTTTCAATATTCCACATATTCAAGTTGTGCTGTTTGGGCTTTTAGGGAACTGTATGTTTTGACAGATGTTTTTGTTGTGTTCTAGCTGTTTGCCATAGTCAAAAAAAGGGTAGTATTTTTTCATCTTGTACCAAGCTCTGTACTTGAATTTGCCATCAGGTCATTGGTTGATGTCTTACCTGCATTCTGATCTTACCTTCTTTATGCAAAACAATAAATTATTGATATATCACAGCAGGTGTTTTCTTCTCCATTGTAATTTGCACCATAAAACATAGGAACTTAAAAATGTGCTGACTGTAAAAGAAAAATTGCCTAAGAAGTTATTTTGTAGGTCTCTATTACTGACTGTCACCCCCCAATTATCTTTAAGTGGGAGTATAAAGCAATCTAGATCAAAGACTGGAACACTTAATTTTTCATTTCTGTTGGTGAATTCTCCTTCAAAACCATCAGACCTTTTCCTGCACGTGCTCCGCTAACCTGTTTGCTCTCCAAGGCGGGTGCCATGCAGGAGGTCAGGCAGACACTGTCGTGCTTGCAAAGCGCATGGAGTGATGGCCGAGCAGTCGCCACGTGTGCTCCTGTGTGCTCACAGGTCATGGGGGAGGCTGTGCTCATTCCTACCACTTATGGAAGGTAATACTTCAACTAAGTTGCTTTTTGTACTGTGTTACGTCTTTTCCAGGAAAGCCCAACACATGCTAGGATTAGAGAGAACTCTTTTAAGCCCCTTCTGGTTTGTTTCAGTACAGTATTCTGCATTTCCCACATGTATTTAGGTTCAGGTTTCTCCTGTGCATGCAGAATTCTTTCCTCAAAGCTAGTATTGATTTTTTGTGCATTGTTTTGAAGGATGAATCGTTTCTTCAGAGATTTACAATTAAAACTATAATCTGAGTGCATTTTTGCTAGTGTGGTTTCTACAATTGTTCCCCAGAGGAGTAAGAGTTTTCTGTGTATCAGTGTGTAGAATAACTTGTACTGGCAATTTACCTAAGATGCTCTCAAAGTCATTAAGTATTTATCATGTATTACCATGATCAATGTGTGTCAACAAGCATTCAACAGAAAAATGTCTGAAAGCAAAGTTAAAGGAGCACAGCATGCACTGGTTGTTTGAAAGTTCTAGCACATGCTAACGGCTGAAGGTTTCAGCAGAAGCATACACAACAACATTTGGAAACAGTTAAAGTCTGGTCTTAAATTTTGTCTTATTTTAAATGACGGTACAAATGAGAGCATTTGGAACTCCAGGCAGCTGGGTGCTTTTTCCCTCTTGGTGTCTTTGTCTGAAATACAAGTTGAATATTTGGAAGACTGCATGGAATGAGTTTGCATCTTGATAATAAAATACTGTACCATTTGGTGTAGCTGACATCCAACACTGTAACAAAGAGGGTGAACCATGATTATCTGCACTTTGTTTGGCATCTGTATTAGTGGGACGCTTATGTCTGTTTAAACAAACACTTAAAGATTTGTTGGCACAATGCAGCCAGCTACACATTTCAATACAAGAATAAATATCTTCAGAGTCCTCAAGAGGGTTTCAACAGCATAAAAATATTTGAAAACTTCTTGATAAGAAATAAAATTAAGTTACAATTTCTTTTATAACTATTCTTTTAGGAGTCGTACTGATGTTAAGGAGTTGACTATGTTAAAGAAACAGAAGGCCTGCTATAATTTTCCTACGGTGAACTTAAATTTGTGGTTTAACAAAGATGTAACAAGTGTCTGATAGGATCACATTCAGACTTTGGGAAGCAGAGTTTGAGGGATTCACTGCATGTTTTAAAGGCAGCAGGTCTGTGGTATGGTAGAGAGAAGGTCTGGGAATGTTACAGATGAGGGCACCGTGCTGGGAACCATCTCTGTTTTGTCAGTCACTGGACTGGAGGAGTTTAGCAAGCAGGCTGCTAATGCTCTGTGGTTTCTATTCCCTCTTTGGTAGATATAAACAAGTGCCAGTAGATCTTTATTGGTAAGCAAAGCCAAAATCAGTTTGGAGGAATTGAAATGTAGTACCCAGAAGGAGTACTGTTGGTTGATGAGGCAGTGGCTGTTTTCTTCTCATTTTGTTAACTTTTACAGAAAGAGTACAGATGTGCAGCTTTAACAGAAACTCACCGAACTGTGCTTAACCGTAGCAATGGCATTCTGTTTTTCCTCACATCCATGTACAGATTGAGTTGAATAATCTCAGTAATTGATTCCTCCTTGGAAACAGTGAGCACCAACAGTTGGACGTTTTTGTCAGGGGACATTTTTTTATTTATCTTCCAGTGGACGCTGGCGGCGGTGTGTTTCTGAATCAAAGAGGTGAAAAGCTTGATCCAGGTGGAGAGCATATGAGCAGTGTTTTGTCCCATGGAGATACAACAGCTCTGGATTCATAAGAGCAGCGTGGGATGAAGCAGGCCACAAGCAATTTTACATTTATGCAGACAGTTCTGGCTATAGGAGTCCACGTTTAAGCAGTTGTATTTGTTGTGTTTGTGACCCCTGGATGTTTCACAATCCCCCACCCTCTCCTAGATACGCATTGATTGCCTGTTCTTAAAAAATGATGGCTTCCTGAATTGCAGCTGATGCTGGGAGTAGTCACCATGTTTCATGATCAAAAACTTCCACTTTTATGATGTGGAAATCACACAGATGGGAAGCGTGGGTTGAGACCACTCCACAGAGCCCTTCACTCTTCCTGAGAGCTTTGCTTACTGTGTATGGGTGATGCTTTCAATTAAACCTACTGTGATACAGCTTCCAGAGGCCTGCTTCCAAATGAAGACTGGCCTGTGTTAGGCACTGTATGAACGTGGGAACAAAAGGCAGGCCCTGGTTCAGTGAGCTCACTAAAACACAGACAACCAATTCATGGGGGCCAGCAAGAGGCTTCAAAGTGATGCGGTGGATGCAGCCCTTCACCAAGATGGCTCCAGCGGCTGTATTAGTGCAACGGCGCAGGCAGGTGGGATCCAGCACCTCACAGAGAGTCAGAGGGCTGGGGGCTTCTGCAGGACTTCAGTGCTGACCACAGGCCAGGCATACTTGGGATGGCAAGGCTGTGGGCTGGGCTGGGGAGAAAGCTTGGCTGCATTTGTGTGGGCTGTGTTGGGCCAGGCTCCTTCAGAGCCACAGCTCTGGGCCAAGGCCACTTTCCATTGCTGGTGCAGATGAAGTCCCATTTGCAGCCCTGGCTGCTACAGGACTAAAGCACAACATTTTTTGTGCTTTTTTGTTTGTTTTTCTTGTTATTGAAGACTGGCCTGAACGTTTTGTTATTACCAGTGCTATCTGGATAGTATGAAAGAGCAGCCTCAGTTATTGGCCCTACTGGAGCATTACTCCAGATGTTTTTCTTTACGCAGCTGTTAAGCAGGAAGTAGAACCAAAACCAAAGATTGATTTGAACCATTGTTTTGTCAAAAAACAGAAATGAAACTGAATTATTATCTTCTTGTGACTTCATTGAATTCAGATCATCATTGGCCACAGCTGGATCCAACCCAAACTCGAAGCAAATCAACAAGCGCACAGACTTGCGCCGCATTTTTGAAGAGGTGAGACTTTGAGGGCCATGAGCCTGCATCTTGTAATGAGTGCAGCAAACACTGCCCCTATGCCAACATCAACTCAATTTTATTGTGTGTTGTGCATGTGTGCATACATATGCGTATGTGTGTATTTATCAAGAGCTGCAGTGTATACCAAATCACTCTGATGGAAAAGGCAGGTTTTCAAAAAACTGCTTATTGCTTAATTGGAAGATTAACAGAAGAAAGACATCTATTTGATAAAATACTGAGATTTCAGCAAATAGATCAGCAGTTCTACTCACTCAGGCCTTGCCCACATCCCAGGCAGCATAGATCTTTACATTTCAACTCCACTGTTTTTTCCCTATTTTGTGAAAGTCAAAAGAGCTTGATTGAATGCAGACTACAAACATGTTCGCTACAAACCTAGTTAAACATGAAATCTTGCTGGGATTAGTTTAATTGTTCTCTAAATAAAAAGGCAGCTTCATACATAGACCACAATTCTGTGCTTGCCAGATAGAGAAATGTGAAGCTGTCAGAAGATGCGGGATCTGTTGGTGTAGGAGTATCGCTGGGCTGCCTGTTGCCTTTCACATGATGCTGTGGTGTAAAACACCACCCCACAGGTTTCATTTTACAGCAAATAGTCTCTGTGGTGGCATCCTGTGGGAACAGAGGTATCAGATTCTATTTTCCCTTCAAACGTCCAACTAACATGTCTAACCTCCTGAGCTGCACTCCCTGTTGCCATGGGCCAGGCTCAGGCCAGGGATGCTGCGGCCCTGGGCCAGGAGGGGAGTCAGGGAGCCATGGGCTGTGCCCATGTTCAGAAGTGCAGATATTGTTTCGGATAAGAGTTGAAAATAACTGAGTAAAAGAGGAAAATACTATTTCATTTTTAATCTTCTGAAGTTTATTTGACACTTCTAATTTTCATTCACTACTAATATGATTGCAGACTCTTCTGTTTTCCTTCTGGCTGCTTGAAGGCAAGAGTTATCTTAAGGAATTTATTCTTTGTATAAATGTCATCCCAAAAGTTCCCATCACCCAAAGCTACCAAACAAGTAAAGACATTTCTGCGACTTTTCAAGGATCAGGACCTGCCTTCTACAGTCAGCCCACTAGGTCCTGGGAAGTGCATGGTTGTGCCTGTGTTGCTGACTGGACAGCTGCGTCCTTAGCCCTGAGCTTCCTTCATGCTCATAAGCAGACTTTCTGTTGGAACTCCTGGGTTGCTCCCAGTGACAGCCACTTGTCTATCGACCTTGTTCTGATGGACAGTCGGCTGAACATGAGCCAGCAGTGTGCCCTGGTGGCCAAGAAGACCAATGGCATCCTGGCTTGTATCAGGAATGGTGTGGTGAGCAGGACTAGGGAAGTCATCCTGCTCCTGTACTCGGCATTGGTGAGGCCTCACCTTGAGTACTGTGTTCAGTTTTGGGCACCTCAGTACAAAAAGGACGTGGAGGTACTGAAGCAGGTCCAGAGAAGGGCAACGAGGCTAGTGAAGGGCTTGGAAAATCAGCCCTATGAGGAGAGGCTGAGGGAGCTGGGGCTGTTTAGTCTGGGGAAGAGGCGGCTGAGGGGAGACCTTATTGCTCTCTTCCAGGACCTGAAAGGTGCTTACAGTGAGAGCGGGGTAGGTCTCTTCTCACTGGTGACAGGTGACAAGACGAGGGGAAAT